AGAAGTATAATATTATCAGGTAGGCAATCTACCTGCGGTAGATCGCGGACCTGGTGCTGTTTGTGTGTAAGTGTATGATTTAACTCTAAAGTATTAAAATTATACCAAGTTTCCATTTTTACTTAATTCCACTAACGGYGAATTAATATAATCAATTAATACAAAATCCTTGATTATGCTAGCAGTATATTTTTACACGTATAAATAGATAGCTGAATTACCTGGCATTGTGCGGGGAAAAATAGTGATTTATACTGTAAGTGATAACCGCTTTTTTTCATTGAATTTTTCATTTTGATAATGCTAATATGTATGTGCAGATGACAACTCTCTCTGTCTGATGCATATAAAAATTTAGCTTACACATATGCATTAAAATAAAAAATACAACAAAAGAAAGCGGTGAATACAACATAATATCTAAATTAAAATAGGCTAACAACTAATAAAACTCATACTTCGCGTTTTATACTAAATTAAAAAAAACTACATTTTTTGAAAAGTAATTTTTATTGTTTTGGAAAAATGCTACATAACTACCAATTAACCTATATTTCTTTCTAAACAATATAATTAGTTTTTTCACCAAGTGCATATATGTTGAGGTCACATACCTCAACAATTTTAGATTCTGAACGAAGTGATGAATGTATTGATTTTACAATGATGTGTGTTTTTTTTTTTGTAGGTGATTTGCATTTTTAGCAAATTTTTAATTTTTTGTGTAACTTTTTTGATATTTTCAAGAAACGACTAAATAATAATTATCATTGTGTTTGGTTGAATAAATTTTTGAAAAAATATCACATAAATGATTATTGTAATTATCATTTTAATATATTATAGATGTTTACTTATAAGTCAATACCGATATACTATATTAGTATTTGAATTACAATAAATTGTTTAACAAATTTAGAAAAAAAAAATTTCTTTTTCTTTTTACTATCCAATTTCAATACATTTTGAACWTGAAATCCTTTAAAAAAAAAATTGCGCATACATATTTTTCAATTTTCTATAAGAAACACTTATGAGGAACCTAATATTTCATTTTTATTATTTTTTATTCAGAAGGGTATTTAACATTATACATAGAAAAAAAAATAACACAATTTATATACAGTAGAATCCGCTTATTTGGGACACCGCATAAATGGGACAACCGCTTAATGGGGACAAATTGTCATAGTCCCGAACGGATGTATAAGCTTAATACAATTTAACTTCGTTTATCCGGGACAAACCATCGGTTATAAGGGACAAAAAAAAAAGCGTTTAACAAGATATTTTGGCCTAAATTATCTGATTTCTTATCGAAACTGTAATTATCTAATCTTTATGGCTCTATTATATTTTATATATACGCACGTATATGTACAGGCAATGTACGTATATCTTACGTCAATTATGTCAATCATTTTTTTTTCCATTTCCACAATAAGAGTCAACTCGCCTACGTACAAAATCGAAAACCTTTAGTTCAAGTTCGTTCGTCGATGTGCATTAATGTATGTGCGTTTTTATTATTCCCAGTTTGTGATAGTACGTAATAAT